GCCGGGTTCAACACACGAGCCCTGGGTGGGGGACGCAAGGCCGGGTTCAACACACGAGCCCTGGGTGGGGGACGCAAGGCCGTGTTCAACACACGAGCCCTGGGTGGGGGACGCAAGGCCGGGTTCAACACACGAGCCCTGGGTGGGGGACGCAAGGCCGGGTTCAACACACGAGCCCTGGGTGGGGGACGCAAGGCCGGGTTCAACACACGAGCCCTGGGTGGGGGACGCAAGGCCGGGTTCAACACACGAGCCCTGGGTGGTGGACGCAAGGCCGGGGTTCAACACACGAGCCCTGGGTGGTGGACGCAAGGCCGGGGTTCAACACACGAGTCCTGGGTGGTGGACGCAAGGCCGGGGTTCAACACACGAGTCCTGGGTGGTGGACGCAAGGCCGGGTTCAACACACGAGACCAGGGTTGGGGACGAACGGAAGACACTGGAGCCGAGGCACAACCCAGTATGGCGCAGAGCATCAAAGCAACGAAGCGTCGAGGAAGAGGCAGAGAAATAGGCGAGGCAGCCATGATCGCATATAAACAGCCTAAGTGAGGAGTATAAATAGAGGAGTCATAGTCTATTAGCTCTCAGCAAATGGGACAAGATTTTAAGCAAGATTAATCAGCTAAGAACATTCAATTCGAAGGTGAGTGACATAAAAACCCAGATAAAATGGTGTCAAGGATCAAGCCGAAGAATTTAGCATTATCCTTATAGAGAGCGACATCCACAGTGACGACACGGTGCGAGGAACCTCCGAGTAACAACTTAACAAATGTCTTATTTAGAGAGACACGCAGAGAGCGAAATCGTCTACTTACAGAGCTGAGAAACTGCCAGGGGGGGGGGGAGAAAGAGGAAGGCAGATCCTTTAGGGTAATCTGGAAAATAGGGCTCTGGAAACTGTCTTGGGAACACCTTCATATTACTGAACAGAGGCAGATCGAACAGCACCAAGCATTACCTTAAACGAACGCCGATGGAGGAAGCTTTGAAGCCAAAAAAGGGGAGATTGTTACGAAGGCCAAAAGAATGAAGTCGAGCAAAAATCTGTTATCTCCAACTGGTGTCATAAGCACACCAAAGAGAATGGGTACAGTGGAGGTATTTGCAGCAAAAGCAGCACTAATGCAGACCTCCAAGTCCACTAGGATATTAGTAGTGCCGCGACACTTCCCAAACTCAACCTGAGAGGGGAAGAGGTTGCGATGACGTTCCAAGAACCACACAAGATGTACATTATCCTAACATTCTAAGAGTTTGCAAACACAATTAGTCAGAAGAAAAGGGAATTTGTTTAAAAAGTCGGAGGGACAGTCGAAGTATCTCTGCAAGTGGGAACTTTGCAATAGCTTGTTGTCAGCACCTTTGCAAAGTTACATAGTTAAAAGATACCAAAGCTCTTTAATATGTTAGGAAAATAAGTCTGCCGCCTTGTATTTGGATAACATGGTAAAATAAGTCGTTATACTTGACAAGTGGGAGCTTGTAATGTGATGCTTATCAAGCTGACAAGTCGTCGGTGGACCGGCGACCCCCGGATCCACAGGGGCGCCCCACCTCTTCAGCGTCCGCACCCAGGACACGCACACAGGTCCAGCACCCGGAAGGCTTGTAGGCAGGACACCACCACCATCCAACGCTCCCACGGAGGCTTCCAGGGCCTCGTGAGGGCGAAAATCAGCCTCCTGGAAAATATTCATCCCCGGTCAGCCACACCAACCAAGTACGCTGCTGACAAGGGACCCGGCAACCCACAACGAAAACACGTACGAAGCTGGCCTCGAATACAGGCAGTTGAGGTTAAACTCCATCAGCGATACTGAAGATGGCACATCCTGGTCAAGGGACATCAGCAGAGTCTTGGTGCCAGCATGCAGCCCCCATACCGTATACAGAAGAGACTGTTCCATATGATGCTGAGCACTTCTTCAAAACGCCCAAACAGCAGGATCAAAAGCTCATCCAGCATTTCGAACGGAGCGCCCCGCACCGCCACGTACGTAGTTGTCACTCAGGTTGACCACCGTGACGGTGCCCGCTCCACCAGGTAGTGGGTAGGAGCGACCTTCAAGTGATAGATGAACTCCTGGAACACACACTACAGTTTCACCACCACACGCCGGTCTATAATGAGCTGGATGCCAATTAAGTCCGCTATCTTGACACACAACACGTCCACTAGAGCTTCACTAACCTTCACTGTAGTATGGTCCACCGGGGAAGAAAACTTCAGACCAGCTGATGTAGTCCGCATTATAGGGGGCCATAGTGGACCTTATCCTTCAGGAACCGTAGCCCTCACCGACAGGGTACCAAACAGTCCTCGTAACAGCTACACAACCATCGACTCCAGGGCTTGCGAGCCAAGTGCGGAGTGAAATGAGGTCACATCCGCACCCTCTGACAGCCAGCCGTCGAATCAACCCATAAGCGACTAGTCGCTAACGAAATGACAGCTGGGTAAAATAAATGCGATTGAAAACAACAACTTTGCAACAAAATCTAAAGGTTCTTTGCAACCACGTAAGACCATTTATACAAATCCAAGAACACCTTAGAGGTATTTAGTAAGAAGTCTTATACCCTCCGGAAACATTTATTCAATAGTCTTGAGATACTTAACTTGCTAACTAGCGAGGAGACAACCGGCTTGGCAGTTCAGTGTCAAGCTGTGGTAAGTCGTCCGCGGTAACACTCGCGTATAATACATATTGAATAAAATTCCCTTGCTTGAAGGTTACCTAAGTTCCCCTCCCCCTTCTACAGGGCAGCTACTGCCCACCCACAACAGTTGACTAAGTCACGTTTATATTTTTATCTATTGCTAGATGGGCAGAAGCAGCAGATGAAAGTTAAACGAACCCAAACATCTGTGCCCTACTGTGGGGATCGATTCCGGGGACCATTCGGTTGTGAGCCGAGAGCGCTGACTACTATGCTACATGCAGTGTGCATCCACTGACGCAGTACACACACTGATAATGTGCAGCGTATATGAAAACCATTTATATTTACCTCGAACGTCTGAATAACATCTACTGATATGCAGATAAAATTATAATATCTGGATGCTGATGAAAAACATCCAAATTGGCAGCAGTGGTGGCAACATTGACACAGAACTACAATACAGAAGGCAGATATTGTAGATTTAATTGCTAGTTAAATGTCTCGTGGCATATTAAATGTATTTCTCAATTTATGAATAAAATTTAAAATTAAAATGACTGTATATCTTTTATTGTCATTGCAAAATTCACTGTACATTGATGATGACCAGACCACACACTAGAAGGTGAAGGGACGACGACGTTTCGGTCCGTCCTGGACCATTCTCACAATCGACTTGAGAATGGTCCAGGACGGACCGAAACGTCGTCGTCCCTTCACCTTCTAGTGTGTGGTTTGGTCACCATACTTTAGCCACGTTATTGTGACTCATCGCCTGCTCACAGTACATTGTTAATTTGCATAGGAACATATTAATAATAATACTGATAAAAAATTATACATTATATACATCATCAGAAAACTACAATGCCTCTATGACATTTTAGTAGAGAATTGAAAATTACAATACTAACAAGTTACAATATAATGACATTAATACATGTTCTATAGTTATGCATTAATTTAATAGCACATCTATCTTTAACAGTTAGAAAATCTTATTTTGTATTCTAAAAATTACATTTGATTCGTAACAAATTATACAAATGGTTATAACTCTGGCTAGACTGTACAACTTTTCAAATAAAAAAAAATTATAACAAACTGAATGACACAGCGATAAAAATGTGAGTGGTTACATATATTAATATATTAATTAACATAATTTTTAAATTACGAGTCATACATGAACTAAACACCATAAATTCACATTTACAGCCATATCCCATGAATTACAAGGAACATATAGAGTACAAAATATATTTGTAAGACATCAATTTGTAAACGATTTTCACATCATCTGTAAATTTAGGGAACAACCTGACCCCCACGCTGAACACACTGCTAAACTATCCGGGGTCAGACTTCAACAGAACTGAAATTGTGTCAACAATTACTGACATCTGGCAGTGTCAGCAATTCATTAACAATGCCAAGTATCCAGCTGAGGTTATCCCTTTATTATCTGCTGATTATTTTATCCATCATGTAGACCTGCTACATTGTTATACTCATCCATAATCCTTCCGTTGCTTTTTTCTTGCAGTCCTGTTGACATATCTGGCAAATTTGAGTGCCAGTGGCAAGCGTAGCCTGATGAACTAGTTAATGATTTTAGCTGGATTTGTAAGTCTCTAGACAAAAGATCATTCGTCTGTAAATTATATCTTTAAGTGTAGGTGGGGATATGAGGCTAGGTGGGAGATTGCAGTGAGTGCCAAGATAAGTCTTGAACAGTTAATCCATTCACAGTTTATCTTAACAAGCTCAGCATCTTGTAGGTACCATAGTTCACAACAATGCAATCTAAGATTTCGAAGAGGTGGTCAAGATTAACACGAGATTATTTTACGATTATTTACACGTTACAAAATTAACAAGATTTCAGAATGTCATTTGTCTTGACTTTCAGGTCTCTGATATTATACAAAAATACGGTCTAGACCTTTGAGAATGTGAAATGGTTTAGATGTTTGTCAGAATATTTGACTGGAATTCCTCTCCACAAAAGTTTGAGTTGAATGTTTGGATGCAACAAATTCAGTGAATTAATATAAAGTACAGTACACTTGGGACGACTGAAGGTGGAGTTATATTCACCACTATATATCTTTCTCTTGTTTCTTAACTTGTGTCTTTATACTTGTAAACATTGCTCTCTTTCATATTTTGAAATGTGATGATTATGAAAATAAATATTTTATAATGTAGAAATGCATAATTCTCTTGCATTTTTCATAGTAAGGTAATTAAATGTGTTCGAATATCCACAGGTAATAATAATAATAATTCGATCTGGATCTCTGTTCAATTATTGAAGCATCTAATATATTGATCGGCGACTATGTTCAGGGTAATTGCTCAGTCTAGGCTTGATCCCACCATACATTTCTGTTGCTCGTCTTTCCCCATGGTATTTATTCGCGTCATTGTTGATTCCTCTAGTGACCCCACCTGGTGCTCCACCTGGTGCTCCACCTGAGGCTCCACCTGGGGCTCCACCTGGGGCTCCACCTGGGGCTCCACCTGGGGCTCCACCTAGTGCTCCAGTTCCAGTTGCACGCAATTGTCTATGGAACTGTTTAATCTCGTTGTTTACACCGCCCCACATTTCAGACGCACGTCTACTTATAGGAATATTTTTTCCTTCAGCGTTAATCCCACCAGGGATTTCTGATGAACGTCTTTGTAGAGGGACATTTTTTCTTGCATTGCTGATACCACTGTGTGTTTCCGATGCACGCCTCGCGAGGTTACTGCTGCGACTGTGGACTCCACCGGGGATTTCAGAGGCACGTCGCTGTCCGTTGTAATTATGGATCCCGCTGTTGACTCTCCCGAAGGCCTCTGATGAGCGTCTCGGATCAGGATATCTCATCATTCGACTGTCGGTTGTAATTGAGGCCGCAGATTTACGTCTCTGAAGATAATTATCCATTCTGCTGACCTGACTTGGGATCTCAGAGGCGCGTCTCTGTAGGGGATACTTACCCACTCTAGGGTAAGGGACCTCCGAAGCCCGTCTCTGTAGAGGGTAATTATTCGGTCTGCCGACTCCAAGTGAAGCCTCGGATGCTCGTCTCTTCACAGGATAATTGTCCATTTTACTAACTACTCCAGGGGCCTCCGAAGCCCGTCTCTGTAGAGGGTAATTATTCGGTCTGCCGACTCCAAGTGAAGCCTCGGATGCTCGTCTCTTCACAGGATAATTGTCCATTTTACTAACTGCTCCAGGGGCCTCCGAAGCCCGTCTCTGTAGAGGGTAATTTTGGATTCCACTGTCGACTAAATCATATGACTTCGACTTCCGTTTATTCATAATACTTTTGTTGGTCGACAGTGACTCGCGACTTGCATATAATGGTTTATTATTACTGAAAAAAAAAATCATATATATTAGATATTCTCACTATCAGGTATGGTTATTATTAATTATTATTATTTATGTTATTATCTTAATTATTATATATGTTTATGTTGGTATCTTAATTATTAATATTTCTTTATGTTATTATCTAAATTATAATATTTTAAATTACTCGAATTAGCTGTATTCTTTGTCATTTGACATTTCAGTCGAGTTCGTTTGCCTCAAGAAACTAAATGATGAAATAAGGGAAATAAATGCAAGCTGATGACAAATGAAATTTAGGAACATAAAGTGATAACGTAAGAAATTTGTCCAACAGGACTACACCCGGACCCACTAAAGTGGCCATGGTGCCTTGTAGACTCTAGAGGGACAGCCTCACCACAGCCACTTAAAGGCACCACAGGCACCACAGTCACTTAAAGTGGCCGTGGTGCCTTGTAGACTCTCGAGGGACACTTAAAGTGGTTATCGCTTAAATTATACCCTGTGGTATGTTACTGTGAACCTATCATTTTCACACGCACACTACTGTTGACTTATCATTCCTACACGAACACTACTTTGGACCTATCATTCTCACACACACTACTATACACCAATCATACCCACACACACTATTGTATACGTATCATACACACGTACACAACTGTATTCTTCTCATACCCATACACGCTACTGTGTACCAATCATTCCCACTCACACTAATGTCGACAATCATTCCCACACATTGTTATGTGGACTAATCATTCCCAAACTCATGCTATTGTTCATCTATCATTCCCACACAATACTGTGCACTTATCGTTCCTACACAATACTGTGCACCTATCATTCTATCACAGATAATTGTGCACTTTGGCAATCCTCCAGGGACACAGATATAGTTTATGTTGCCAGTCTTAAATACAGTTACTTGTCTCACGCAACTACGAAGCCTCTACATCCATTCACGACTCACAATTGGAGAACCCGGGTTCGATTCCTAGGCATGAGAGAATTGGTTTTAAACCTTTTCTTTCACCTAATGTCTCCTCACCTACTGGTGAATAGGGGCCCAAGAGCTAGGCAACTGGCGTGTGAGTGCTCCTTGGGGGAAGGTCAGTAATTCAACCTTGGACAGAGCTTGATAGAAACCATAATATACGCAGGCTTCCTGTCCCCGTCAAAACAATTAAATAGAATACGGCAAAACGTTTGCCTAAAAATATACATTTCCGTGAATAATTTCTCCATTCTCCCCACAAGTTGAAAAGCTTCTGCCACTGTTTTTGATGAGAAAAAAAACAAAATGAGAAATAGCAATACTTGGACGTACCGGGACGACCTCCTGGAGGCGTAGAACACGCTGCCCGCCACTACCACCGCTAGAAGCAGCGCGCCACCTACGGAGGACCCAACGATGAGACCAACGTGGCTGGCTTGCGGGCTGGGCTGAGCCTCGGTGGTGGTGAAGTTCACGACCGCTGGAGCACCAGGACCCATCCCGTTGACAGCCTGTGGGTTAGTGAGTCAGGAGAGGTTATGGATTGTTCACTAGGTTATATATTGTTCACCAGGCTATGGATTGTTCACCAGGCTATGGATTGTTCACCAGAAGGTTATGGATTGTTCACCACGTTATGGGTTGTTCACCCACTTATGGGTTGTTCACCCACTTATGGATTGTTCACCCACTTATGGATTGTTCACCCACTTATGGATTGTTCACCCACTTATGGGTTGTTCACCCACTTATGGATTGTTCACCCACTTATGGGTTGTTCACCCACTTATGGGTTGTTCACCCACTTATGGGTTGTTCACCCACTTATGGATTGTTCACCCACTTATGGGTTGTTCACCCACTTATGGATTGTTCACCAGGCTATGGATTGTTCACCAGAAGGTTATATATTGTTCACCAGGCTATGGATTGTTCACCAGAAAGTTATGGATTGTTCACCAGGTTATGGGTTGTTCACCCACTTATGGATTGTTCACCCACTTATGGATTGTTCACCCACTTATGGATTGTTCACCCACTTATGGATTGTTCACCCACTTATGGATTGTTCACCCACTTATGGATTGTTCACCCACTTATGGATTGTTCACCAGGCTATGGATTGTTCACCAGGTTGTGGATTGTTCACCAGGTTATGGATTGTTCACCAGTCTAGGGAGTCAGCAAAGAACACAACCCAGCCCCCATAACAGATAATCCTTGTAAGTTACAGTGGACTGAATTTACAAAATCTTTAACAGACTAGCCATAGACCAAGACCTGTTTAAATCATCTTAACCTGCCCAAGACCTATATAAATCATCCCAGACCTAACATATATGCAATGGTATGCATAAGTAAGCATATATTACTACTATACAAGTCCTAGTAAAAGTTAGGTTTGGTAATTGCATTTATTCTCGGGCCCATTACAAAATTAACACCACAAAACATGTATTTGTACTTTTGAACCTGTACCTGTAGCTTGTGCTACAGCACACATTGTGTACAATTTCCTCCATGCTAGTCACAGGGACAAATAGTGTTGGTGAACACGATGAAATCATAATAGATGTATAACAAAGCTTTCTGAAATTGGTTTTAAATTTATTAACGCGAACTGGATACGAAATCAAAATTAAATCGAATACGTTTAAACTTAGGAAAGACCTGGGTAAATACTGGTTGTATACAAGGTTGTTGATTTGTGTTTTTACGTTAAATACTGGGATGGACAAAGCTACAATAATGACTGGACAGAAAGGATCAACAACTATGTTAATGACTGGAAAAAATGGATCAAGAACTGCAATATTGACAGAATAGAACGGGTTAAAGAACTTCAATAATGACTGGACAAAAAGGGGTCAACAAATACAATAATGACTGGACAAAAAGGGGTCAACAAATACAATAATGACTGGACAAAAAGGGGTCAACAAATACAATAATGACTGGACAAAAAGGGGTCAACAAATACAATAATGACTGGACAAAAAGGGGTCAACAAATACAATAATGACTGGACAAAAAGTGGTCAACAAATACAATAATGACTGAACAAAAAGCGTCAACACCTACAAAATAATTGGGCAGAAAGAGTAAACAACTACAAAAATAAGTGGAAAAAAAGGGATCAGTAACTACAATAATGACTGGACAAAAAGGGGTCATCAACTACAATAATGACTGGAAAAAAAAGAGAGAACGCTTGCCTTAATACATGTAAACAAAAATACAAATGAATTGGTGCATGTTAAAAGTAATAATGGAGGATTAAATATAATAATACTGGAGAATGGGTTAACAATGAGTATTAAAGTGACGGATTACAGAATGAAATGTTTCCTATTTATTACTGCAGTATAAAATACTGAGTCTGCGGGGTAAATGCCGCCTTTCTTGAGAGTCTGGAACACCAGCAAGTGACTTCAGGGACTATTAAACCACTGGACAGAATACACACCATCATCAGATGGAGCTATAGAAACTATGTGACCTCGGCACAGAAGAACACATCCTTTAGTCTATGTGGTTCTAGGGACAGAATACACCCCATCATCAAGTGGAGCTATAGAAACTATGTGGCCTAGGGACAGAATACATGGGAAGTGGAGCTATAGAAACTATGTGGCCTCGGGACAGAATACACCCCATCATCAAGTGGAGCTATAGAAACTATGTGGCCTCGGGACAGAATACACCCCATCATCAAGTGGAGCTATAGAAACTATGTGGCCTCGGACAGAATACACCCCATCATCAAGTGGAGCTATAGAAACTATGTGGCCTCGGGACAGAATACACCCCATCATCAAGTGGAGCTATAGAAACTATGTGGCCTCGGGACAGAATACACCCATCATCAAGTGGAGCTATAGAAACTATGTGGCCTCGGGACAGAATACACCCCATCATCAAGTGGAGCTATAGAAACTATGTGGCCTCGGGACAGAATACACCCCATCATCAAGTGGAGCTATAGAAACTATGTGGCCTCGGAACAGAATACACACCATCATCAGATGGAGCTATAGAAACTATGGGCCTCGGGACAGAATGGACCCCATCATCAAGTGGAGCTATAGGGACTATGTGGCTCGGCCAGAATACACACCATCATCAAGTGGAGCTATAGAAACTATGTGGCCTCGGGACAGAATACACCCCATCATCAAGTGGAGCTGCAGGGAATATGTGACCTGGCAACAGAACACATCCTTTTAGTCAGAGGAGTTCTAGGCTGGACCGCATGGGAGTAGTTCCTGGACCTCATAGGAGGAGTTCACCTCATAGGAGGAGTTCCTGGACCATAGGAGGAGTTCATGGAGTAGTTCTAGACTGGGCCATAGGAGGAGTTCAGGCTGGAGGAGGAGTTCCAGGCTGGACCTCTAGGCTTCAAGGCTGGACCTCATAGGAGGAGTTCATAGGAGGAGTTCTAGTTCAAGGCTGGACCACATGGGAGTAGTTCTAGGCTGGACCACATGGGAGTAGTTCTAGACTGGACCACATGGGAGTAGTTCTAGACTGGACCACATGGGAGTAGTTCTAGAGTGGACCACATGGGAGTAGTTCTAGAGTGGACCACATGGGAGGAGTAGATTGTACGTCAACGTGTCACTAATAATAAAGACAACACCGACACAAAGAAGTAAAAGCAACAGTATGAGATTAATCCCATTTCTCCAAAGTAGTTATGACAACAATACAGTGTAAGTGCTCTTCATGCTTGTATTGTATTTTCTCCTTTATACAAAGTGTATACAAAGCTCGCACCGCACCCTTCCTATGTTAAATAACATATACTAAAATACACATTGTTTTGATGGCCAGGCATATATGTTATATAGACTAAAATGGCCTTATATATATGATATACCTGTATTTATATATATTTTCAATGTTCAGCTAGTGATTTGATTGAATTTTATTTACATATTATATAATGCTGTTGTTTTTAATGGCGATCAGGAATATATTTTCAATGTTTTATGTTATATTTACCGAGAATACTGAAGAAAATACTTATGGTCAGAGAGATCAGTAGCTAAGAGAGTATTTTGCACGTGGTGACTTTATTTAATAACCACAGTCATAGACACTTTACACTTATTTACAATATTATTTTGCTTAGATTGTTAGGACGGAAACATTGTGATCTGAGAATTAGGAAGTCTGAGTTACAATACTAATATAGGCTACTAATGCCTTGCCCCTTATATCCTGTACATTATACTATGTTCTAAATATATATAATATTATAAAGATCTTACCATTAACCTGACAGAATATTCAGTAGAGGGATGAAGCTCTTCAATCAGATATGTATAGTCTGTCGAGTTAAAAAATGCATCATTTATGATGTCATTGTCATCATTCCAGTAGAGGTTCCAGCCCAGGAGCCGACCATTGAGGCGGAGAGGCAGGTCCCAGGAGAGCAGCGCCTGGGAGGAGTTGAGGCTCTCCACCGTCAGGTCAGTGGGTGCTGACGAAGCTGCTCGTGTACACGGGAGAGGACATTAGCGTCGTGGATTTATTTCATCTGTAACTTAGACACTCATATATCTTGAGGTTATCTTGAGATGATTTCGGGGCTTTAGTGTCCCCGCGGCCCGGTCCTCGACCAGGCCTCCACCCCCAGGAAGCAGCCCGTGACAGCTGACTAACACCCAGGTACCTATTTACTGGTAGGTAACAGGGGCATTCAGGGTGAAAGAAACTTTGCCCATTTGTTTCTGCCTCGTGCGGGAATCGAACCCGCGCCACAGAATTACGAGTCCTGCGCGCTATCCACCAGGCTACGAGGCTCCCTGGTGGGCCATATATAATACTGAGTAGAGATTTGTTCTATATATTCTGTTACTTGTTTATTTATTTGGTCTGGTTTCTACGTGTACGTAACACGTATTCATTTGACGAGCTGCTTCACGTGACTCAGCATAGTGAGAGTTAATAAAACTGAAGTTATTAAACTGAAGAGTTAATCATACTGAATTAATAAAAGAAGCACCTCAACAAACTGGCAGTACCAAACAAGGACTTACCTGCACAGTCTTACTGCTAAGATAATCAAGCTAATTGTTATCACAGTTATCATGGCAGAGATTAACTCCCGACTTAAGAAGGGTCCTGGACTTGAGATTAACTCCCGACTTAAGAAGGCTCCTGGACTTGAGATTAACTCCCGACTTAAGAAGGGTCCTGGACTTGAGATTAACTCCCGACTTAAGAAGGCTCCTGGACTTGAGATTAACTCCCGACTTAAGAAGGGTCCTGGACTTGAGATTAACTCCCGACTTAAGAAGGGTCCTGGACTTGAGATTAACTCCCGACTTAAGAAGGGTCCTGGACTTTATAATACCAAACGTACTGAGTAAATTGTACTATGAAAAGTATTGGTTTACAAATTTCCACGTTTTCTATGCGTAGGATGGTTAGGTTAGGAGGGTGGTTTGGGTTCGTGGGTTTTAGTTCCTATCATTCTTCACGTTGTGGTGAGTCAAGAAGGAACGTAGTATAGGGACTCAAGGATCATCATCCTTAGAGACTGAGCTGAGCTGAGTGATTATGATTGAAGGGCACCTTAATAACTGCTAGTTATGTTGTGGTGTTAATTATTATGTGGTGTTAGTTATAGTGTGTTGCTAGTTACACTGTAGTGCTAATTATAGTGAGGTGCTAGTTGAATGTCTTGATCCAAATTTCTCTTTTCCATGGGTAATAGTTTTGTATAAATAATATGAACAATGACGCGGGTCGGTTCATCATCCCTAGTAAGAATCCCTATTAGAATTGTATGTTTTCTTTAGATATATATTAAACCTCAAATTATAGATAAACTACAAATTGATACATAATCGGAAAATTGTCATTGCAGAAACCAAATAAATGGTTTCTGTTATATTATATATAGTAACTGTATAACCTTGCATAGTAAAGTGTACACCATAAAAAAGGGGGGTGGTAGGAGAAGCGAACACTCTTACGTATTCAGAGTTAAATGGCAGGTTTTTTGCTGAATGCTCTGTGTTCCCTTCTCGGAGGCTGTGGGTCCCTATAATTGCACCAGAGGTGGTACCCCCCTATATTTATATATTGTAATATATAATTAAACACAGTATTGTATAGAATATGTAACAAAATCAAAATTTATTTATATTTTCTAAGATATATTCAATATTAGTGAAAAATATCTGTGTTTGCTAAGGTAAATTTATGTGACTTACGAGCCTCTGGTGTCATCGGGTGGCAGCAGGTGGTGTCTGTGTCATAGTCCGACACACTGACACAGACGTTGTAGGCCGCGTATGGCACAGTGTTCTCCAGCTGGTGGCAGCTCTGACTCTCGTCCTCCCAAGGCTCTGTGCTGTTGCCAGCCTCTGTAACACAGTAATGACCTGACCTCAGTAGCTCACACTTGATATTACTGGAGCTCAATAACTCACGCTTGACATACGTTAAGTTCAATAACTCCTCAAACCATTAATTTTATTTTGTGTAGACGTGATGAAATAGCAAGAAAAACCTCGGGTCCTGTTGATTATACTGTGACTGCCTTATAACTTGGTGAGTAAAGAAAGGTAAACATGATAGCCACTGACCATGGTCGGTGTTGTGTGTCCAGAGCCTGGCGCCGTCCCAGGTGACGGTGTAGCCGTCCATGGGACAGTAGCGGGGAGACGGCGTCCAGCACACCTTCACGTCACCCTCTACAATTGAACACTCCACGGGACTTGGTGCCACTACCGTCAAACAATAACAATTTAGAGGAGAACAAGTCAGAGTAACGAGGCTAGAACAGATATCAAGACCCATATGCAGGCGATGAGTCACAATAACGTGGCTGAAGTATGTTGACCAGACCACACACTAGAAGTTGAAGGGACGACGACGTTTCGGTCCGTCCTGGACCATTCTCAAGTCGATTGTAGTCCGTCCTGGACCATTCTCACAATCGACTTGAGAATGGTCCAGAACGGACCGAAACGTCGTCGTCCCTTCAACTTCTAGTGTGTGGTCTGGTCAACATATCAAGACCCACATGTATGACAGGAAAGTGATAACATTTTGGTCACTCTGGACTCATATTATGTCCTCACTTTCATCTCGTTTCACATATGTGGGCGAGGAGTTTGTTATTAATTCTGTTCCCAGCATGTATAATGTGTTAAACCTTAATTGCGTGATATTCATTTTGTTCATGATTACTGTGGCCAGAAACATGAGGTTATCATCACTTACCCGGACCATCGATGGTAACAGCCGAGGGCTCAGACTCGGGTCCCCAATCTCCGCCCTCAGTCATCGCCCTCACAGTGATGGTGTAGTTCTCACAGACATCTAAACCATCAACCACAGCCTCGGTGTCTCCTCCAGTCACATTTATAAGTACAGAATGATTTTCACTCCTATAGTGGACCTCATATATCGAAATTATACCATTGACTTTGACAGGAGGCTGCCACAAGACAGAAGCTGATCCGTCAAATGAGGTGACCGTCAGAATGACAGGCGGACCTGGCGCTGGTGTGGGAATACGGGAGAGTGTTCAGGAACATGTTGATTATCCAAATTAATTACAGGTTTAACAGGACGCTTAGCGCCATCTCCATGTCTATAATATTAATAAAATATTTGCATAACATATTACAAAATGTATAAATATACAGTAAATGTGTGTTCAAGGATGTTGGCCAAACGCTTTGCTCTAGTTTCACCCAATTTCTTGCACTAATGGCTGTTGGGTACGTGCCCAGCAGCTGTGGGTAGAGATTGACATCAGATAAATGGGTGCCATGTGACATTGTGCCAAACGTACCCATATCAGTACTCTCGCAGTCCCATTAACTCAACTCTGAAAACGCGGCCTGTCTGTCCGAGGTTGAAGGTCAGACTTATGGGAGAAGCTTCACTAAATTTCAGGAGGTTTTCAGCAGAACCTCTTGAAGAAATGAATGTTATCTATGCCCACTTGGGGACTGTCAGCCCCAACGAATTCAATATATATGCAAGACAACTACATAACTTTCAAGACGCCTAAAAATTCACAAGCAGTAAGGACGTATTAAGGAACATTAAAAGACCTATTAACCTCTGTACATATCGAGACCATCTTGAGAGATATACTCACAAACAACATCAAAATAATCGACAGGCAGAGCGACCACAGAAGACTCGACATCGGCGAGGCACTATACATATAGCAAACCAAGCCACGTATCAATAGCCAATTAGCACCAAATTACTCTCTGCCAACTTCCAGAACACGACGTAAACTGCCCCAATCATCATACAAACAGGAGAGTCACAAGATACAATGGACCTAGAAGTGAGGTGCCTTACCTTCACCTCATCCCATTCACTTCATCACCCTCACCTCATCTTCGGGTACATATCATGCAACAAGAAACGTTATAATCAGTCGAATTTTGTCTTTGACAATGTTAACATGAGTTAATGAAACGCAACTGGGTAAGAAGGCATCCGCTGGGTTAGGTAAATGAAATTTGCCTAACAAGGCGAATGATTTTCGTTTGAAAATATGTCTTCCAAAGAATTATTTATTTAATTTCTAACAGTAATAAGAAATTATATTACAAACATAAATTACTGATTTACTTATGTTAGGTTATGCTAGTTTATGTTAGTTTATGTTAGGATAGGTTTGGATTGGTTAGTTTAGGTAGGTTAAGTTTGATCTAATTTCTATGTTAGTTTTGACTCAAATTACACAAAATTGTAATCATATAATACAATGAAAACTTTATAATATTAAGAGAAAAAATACAAAAAAATTCATTTTCAGGAAAATTCGTTTTGTTAGGCAACTCTGTCTACTCCGTACGATTTATATCTATCATCTATATATATACACATATGTGAATGTTCGTTTTGTTCAAAATCGCTAATCTCCGAAAGTTCTTCACCGATTGCTTTGAAATTTTGACACGACGTTCCATTTGAATGTGTGTGTGCGTGTTTTTATATACCTACTATATAAATGTCACGTTTGTGACAGGTAAAATCATGTTTCTTTTTTAAACTGTGTTTTTCATGTTTGTTTTCATGTGAGGAAAATCTCCGAAACCTCTTCACCGATTCCTTTGAAATTTTGACACGACGTTCCATTTGAATGTGTGTGTGCGTGTTTTTATATGCCTACTATATAGATGCCACACCTGTGACAGGTAAAGACATGCCTTTTTTATAAACAGTGCCATCTGTTGGACGTAAAAGCAACATTTGCTATACTAAATATTTTACGATTCCATGTTTCCAATTTCATTGTTAAATTGAATTTTCATTTATTTTGATTTATTTTCATTTTCATTTAATTATTTCGTGTGCCATTGCATTGGAATTGAGCTGTGTCGTTTACCATACTGTTGATTTCGTGGGTATAGTTTATTTTGTTAATTTTTCATTGTTTTTCATTTCGATTTTTTTAACTGTTCTTATTTTTCAGTGAAGGAAACATCAGATCATTTAATGTTTCCATTTTTCTGATGGGAACATCAGGTCATTTGGGAATGCATCAGACGGAGGAGTGGGGAATGGTAGGGAGGATGAGGGGACGAGAGAGTGAAGGATGGTGGGGAGGACTTGGGGACGGGGGAAGGGAGAATGGGGGGGGGGAGGATGAGGGTACGAGGGAGTGGAGGATGGAACGTATTGACAGCAGGTAATTTATGTTAATTTTTCAGAAATCAGTGAATAATGATGACTATTACTTTAAGCAAAAACTGTTTTTTCCAGTTTTCCGGCCGTGCTCATGATTATCGTGACGGTCTGAATGGGATCCTTTTGAATTCTGGCTACTCTGATCAGCCTATGTTATCCCGTACCCCAGACCATTCCCTCTGCCAGTTTACCCCTAACCATACCAAAGATATCCCACCTTGAGGTTACCTCGAGGTGCTTCCGGGGCTTAGCGTCCCAGCGGCCCGTTCGTCGACCAGGCCTCCTGGTTGCTGGACTGATCAACCAGGCTGTTGGACGCGGCTGCTCGCAGCCTGACGTATGAGTCACAGCCTGGTTGATCAGTAATGTGGCCAGTAATGTGACCCACGTGACCAGTAATTTATTACTTTCGTAAATCACGACAAAATTCAATCTTACTAAAACATACTTAGCGTGACCTACCAGACTGTGGTGTGAGAGCGGAGCAGCACCCGGTGGCTGTCACCTGGCCGTAGACACCCACACAGAGACTGTAGTTAGTGTAGGGGACATAGGGGCCCGACAGCTGGTAACACAGCTCAGGGACCTCCTCCCAGGACATGGGGTCGCTCCCAGAAGAGTCTGAAATAACACAATAATTTAAGTATTCATTATTTTAACAGGATATTTGTATCCTTCAGCCTACAAACATGAATAATAAATATAGAGGGGGATTTTGATAATAATAAATTATAGTATTTAGTAAAATCTATATTACACATTACTTACGTTAATTCAATTTTGTTGAGTGCAGTTTTGTGGCATTTATTATTCATCAACTAGATGTATATTGCTGCTTTAGCAACATGACAGTGACCAAAAGATTCGCTTAATTAAGTATCTTATTGTTAACATTATTTCATACACCTGGGTTCTAGGAGACTCGAACCCCAGACCCCGTACGTGTGAGGCAGAAGCTCTATACACGCAGTTATGAAGAGTCTTGATAAGACTACTCATTGCTGAGTGGATAGAGCTTCTGCCTCACACACGATGGGTCTGGGGTTCGAATCTCCTAGAACCCAGGTGAAAGAAATGTTTAATTCCACGGAAATGTTAATGGCAAGTTAACACTATTTTTATTATTATTTCTATTATTATTATTATTGTTTTTGTATTATTAGAGTGAATGTTTTAAATAAATACTCAGCTATAAGATTTTTACCTTTAAGAAAGCTGTTGTGTGTGCAAGACTTTACTTTAGCTTTGATTTTTACTTTACTTTGATTTTACTTTACTTTGATTGTTTAATACTCTATGGTCTCTCCAATTTTTGTTAGCATATTTTTATATATTTTAGTATGTTTAAGTATAATTTCCTCCCCCATCATAAACTGTGTAGGGGAGCAGAACTCTAGCCCTGTCGATTGAAGGTTTACAAAACCATGCACATGTTGATTAGCTCGGGAATATTTCCTTATAGAAGTGCTAAAATGACCTTGTGTGGTTGAGCGGTCAATAACCAACTCTGCTGTACAGTGAGACAGCCCAGGCCCCGTCCACGGAGGATATTATATAATGCAAAGATGATTGTTATCATTGTTTATGAATTTAAGCTAATATTCTTACTGATTTTACTGCGATTGTTACTGTTTTTAAATGTTGTTATATTGTAAAATTTACGGACAATACGGTGATCGTGTTAGGTAATGTAGTTGAGAAACATATATGAGAAATTAGAGGCTACTGACCTGCGTCACTGGACCAGAGGCTACTGACCTGCGTCACTGGACCAGAGGCTACTGACCTGCGTCACTGGACCAGAGGCTACTGACCTGCGTCACTGGACCAGAGGCTACTGACCTGCGTCACTGGACCAGAGGCTACTGACCTGCGTCACTGGACCAGAGAACGTCACCGTGCCAGGTGACGGTGTAGAGGTCCTGGGTGTCACTGGAGATGAGACAGGCAGGGGAGCAGGGCGCCCAGCACGCCCTGATGACGCTCTCCTCCTGGCGACACTCCACGAAGTTGGGCTCAACTGTCATCACAACATGTGTATGTGTTAATAATTCTCTCCCTCCCTCCCTTGCTCTCCCTCTCTCTCTCTCTCTCTCTCTCTCTCTTTCTCCCTCTCCCTCCGGTTTTCTTTATCTCCGGTTCTCTCTCCCAGTGGGCAAGTGATGAGTAACATTCAATATTATCCACGTTTAATCAACGTTGAAATCTGTTTTAATACAATGGACAATCAAACATTCTATATTTCATCAGAATCCCTGGGATTCGGAATAGGAACCGATCCTTCTTGAAGAGGGGCATGGGGATTACCCTTAGCCACCCTATGACACTCGTCATATTCACAGTTTATCTTGGAAACTTTAGTGAGGCTAGCCTCATGCACCTGGACCTTGGACATTGAGGCAGACGTTTGTCTTTCTCCCGTCTCTCACACCCTGTGGTGCCAGGGTCAGCCTGTCATTCCCTCCACCTCCTATGCCCTCCTCTTCCCTCCTTCCTGTCCTGCCCGTACCCCTTGTCAATTTACTTTCCTTCTCGCTTTCGTTCCAATCTTCCCTATTTCCCCACCCCTCCCCATCTCCCCAACCCTTCCCCTATTACCTCATTTCATGTCTTGTACCCCAGATTCTTTCCCTTCAGGTTTCAATCCTTTTACATACACACATTTCCATTAAAAACAGAATTATCAATAATACCTTTCAGTTCTAGAAATCTAGGGACTCAGTCAGCCATCTTTCACTATGTGGTGAGGTGTGTCTGAAATTCCAACACTAACATATAAGACTACTAACACCCCATATAACCAGCAAACACGGTTATACTACTCATTTATTAACATTACTAACCTCGTAACATAAGAACTTCAGAGTCTTAGATCAACCCACGATTTCATTACCTTGGGAAGTATTGTAACCGGGAAATTAATTGTGTATATATATATATATATATATATATATATATATATATATATATATATATATATATATATATATATATATATATATATATATATGTCGTACCTAGTAGCCAGAACGCACTTCTCAGCCTACTACGCAAGGCCCGATTTGCCTAATAAGCCAAGTTTTCATGAATTAATGTTTTTTCGACTGCCTAACCTACCTAACCTAACCTAACTTTTTGGGCTACCTAACCTAACCTAACATATAAAGGTAGGTTAGGTTAGGTTAGGTAGGGTTGGTTAGGTTCGGTCATATATCTACTTTAATTTTAACTCCAATAAAATAAAATTGACCTCATACATAACGAAATGTGTTGCTTTATCATTTCATAAGAAAAAAATTAGAGAAAATATATTAATTCAGGAAAACTTGGCTTATTAGGCAAATCGGGCCTTGCATAGTAGACTGAGAAATGCATTCTGGCTACTAGGTACGACATATATATATATATATATATATATATATATATATATATATATATATATATATATATATATATATATATATATATATATATAATTTAGTTGCCATTAATTTTGTGTACAAAAATTTGCCGGTTATGATACACATAGAACATTAAAATGAGCATTGTTCTAATTAAAATGATTAAATAAATGAGAAAATAAAATTAAAATGAATAAAAATGCTGTTGTTCGAATTAAATATATAATCTTACTCTGCTATATGGTGTGTTTAGCAGTGAGAGTTTACTGCTACTAAATAACTCGGCAGGTGCCGTACAGAAGAGAGGAGCAACATTACGTCGAGTCATCTTAGTGCAACAGGAAGCATTCACGGTCACCATTAGGACTCATACCATAGAAGTCTCATATTCGTGCCTGAGAATGTCTAGTACCTATCATCAGGCTATAACAACTTAACACCTAAGACATTTTTACCATTTAATTAACCCATTTTAGCTGTAGTACTAACATTAAATCAGTAGTTTATTACAATTATCAATTTTTTTATTAAAAGGCTATGTATATAAACCCCCAAAATTGTGTACAAGTAAACACCTAGCAGGATAACTTTTAAAAATACAGTCCACTTTGAATTAATAATTAAGTTATTACAAAAGTTATTACTAAATTAAAGTTAGTACAATAAATCAATAATGTAATATAAATAAATTAACAAATAAATTTCTGCTGAGAAAATACCCCACAAGGAGGAGGGGTGCCACTGTTTGGCCTTACCCCCTCTTAACAGGACTAAGAGAACTGACCCCGACCAGCCTATGTCTGTCCCATACCCCAGACCATTCCCACTACAGAGTTTGTTAGAGATTTAGCCCCAAATGTCTGGCCATCAGTCTTCGACAGACAAACATTCTCTCATACAGATATAGATTGAAATACAGACAACAGAACAAACACAGCACTTTAGAACAGCACCAACACTTACCAGTAACATTGTGAGTAATATTCCAGGTATCAGAATAGGGTCCCCAGCCGACATCAGTCTGAGCACGGAGGTTGATGAGGTACGGCTCACACTGGCTCAAGTTACTGATCACAGCCTCCGTGTCGCTGGTGTACACGGTGTAGTCACTGTCGTCTTGCTCACTCACAATGTTGATCTCATAGTCGCCCAGTTCTCCGTTCGCTTCTTCAGGCGGTGACCAGGAGACGTACAGTGAGAGTTCATAGGAGGTGATGCTGGTGATCACAGGAGCTCCTGGTGCTGGTGTGGGGATACAGGGGTCAAAGTTAACCAGGAAACTTACAGTGAAAGTCTTTAGGGCCATGAGAGGAATCATAAAATAACGCCAACAATCACGATATAAAATTAAATTCCATTTACCTGGGCTCTAGGAGACTCGAACCGTGGACCCCACGCGTGAGAGGCCGAAGCTCTATCGACCGAGCTATTGATTTTTTTTAATTAAAATGAGAACCAGCAATATTATATTTTATATAAAATTTTATTTCTACCCCATTAAAAACTTATATTATTGTACAAAGTTGATATTAATAATAATAATAATAATAATAATAACTGCAGTAATAATAGAGGACTATTACTGCTGTAAAAGTATTATTACTTTATGACCATGAGCAATATACAGTTATATAAAAACTGTGAAGTCAAATAAACATTCTCTCTTATCTGGTATCAGGTTGGGTGCTGTTGTTGTTGTGGGAGGGATGAGGGCTGGGGAGCTCCAATGTTTTTAGATTTTGGGTGGGATAAACAAGACATATATAGAGTGAAAAAAGTGCATAAACCTGTTTGAATATCTGCCAAACAGTCAGAAGCTCCAAAAAGTTACAGAAACAAGGCAGATATGGTGTTTTTGAAGTAAATAGTAGAGGAGCACATGGTGACCAACAAAGATGGTCCCGGCAAGAGGAACGACAAAACAGAATAAATTTTGTTAGTTTTATTAACGAAAACATTAGCTGGAGTGGTCTTCACATCAGGTTAGGAAAAAACAGAGATTATTGTAAAGGATCGAGTGGACAAAATTAAGAATTTGTGCAGCAGTAATGAAAACATGAGAAACAAAGTTACAGCCCTATAAAATCCATTAAGGGAATTATACAAAGATAAAAATCACTGGGAAGCTGAACGAAAAGTCCTGGAGGAGGAAAATAAAGAATTCAAGATAGCTCTTGAAGTTAAACCAAATCCAGATGTTAGTGAATACAATAGGTTAGGCAAGGACATTCAACATCGATAATATGCTTTACCAGAAAAGATGGAAGAGGTTACAAAGAATATAGGAAAGTACAAGAAAGATATTAAGCTATCCGATGCACAATTGGCCTGAGAGAAAGTAATATTAAAAGCAGTTAAGGAAGTGACCGAGCAACAACAAGACTCTGAAAAACCTTGACCTACATCTTCCAGCAAAGAGCCACCACAAAATGTACTGTAGATAAACCAACACAGCCCAACAAAGCATGAACCAGGACTCTGCCAATATTATGCATGTGGTGTATGCAAATATGGCCTATCATGAAGAGCTAATGGAATATGCAGACGACGAGTCACAATAACGTGGCTGAAGATATGATGACCAAACCACAACTCAGTAGATGGAGAAAGGTCGACATTTTGGTCCGTCCTGGACCATTATCAAGTCGATTGTGATGGAAGAGAGTTGCTGTTGTTTTAGATTCAATTACTCGGAACAAAAATGGGAGAGAGGAAGGCACGGGCATTAAATAAGAAGAGTGAGGCGAGGAGCAGGTAAGAGAAGACGGTAATTCAAGAAGAAGGTAAGAGAAAGACGAAAAGGTAAGAATAGGATGGAAGGTACTAATGGGATGAAGGAAGAATGGGATAGGTAAGAATAATATGAGGGTAAGAAAAAGTAAAAGGCTTGTCAGGTCACGTTTATTAGGAAGGTTAAAGCATTTAAGTATGTACTAATGGAATTAAATATATAAGTGGAACATGCTTATGGAACATATGAATTTTAAAAACCCGAGAAACTGCAGAAATATCCTAATAGGGGTACATAGATTGCCTAGAATTTCATATCAAAGGAACCAAGCGAATAAAATCAAAATAACGCAATTATGAATACAGCAATACCCATACATACCAGGGGGATTTTTTAACAAGAGTAATAGGAAAAGAATGACGAGAAATGTCCAAACTCTATCATCAGCTCTGCCAAATGGTAGACAGGACGCACACAATGTGGCACACCTTCCATAACCAAAGATATTAACTAGAAGTAAAATTCCCAGGTCTTCCACAAATACGATTACAACCGTCTTATTTCCCAACATACAAGGCATCAAAACACGCAAAAAAGTCCACTATCTAACTAGTCTCCTAAACGAAGAATATGCAATGTTAGCAAGTTTTACTAAAACTCACACAACGGACTATTATGATAGTGAGATATGGATTCCAGAATTCAATCTTTTCAGATGTGATCGAAAACATTGGCTACAGAGTGGAGTCAGTCAGTACTGTCGGAAAAAAACCAACATCATTTACTAACATTTGGTATAATATGCAGTTAATATTACTATGGTTTTTGTACTAAGTTAATTAATCATCCAAAGAAAACAATATTGCAGTGGAATTTTCCTCGGAAGAAAACGGGGATATCGTTGCCATGTCGCCATTAAATTCGCCAATTAATAATATTGGGAATTCATCTTAATACATCAATCGGTCTCTGGACTTTAAATATCAAAAACATTTCCCTTGAACTAACTTAATTATTAGTACTAAAATAAATTAAATATAAACCCTCTTTCCACTTGATAAAGCTACATCTTGAATCCAGATGCGTGAGGGAGGGGAGTAGTTATTTTGAGCACGGAACGTTAAAATGTCTCATGTTGACCTCTCCAGGACATGAGAGAACAGTAATTTAATGTCGAAGAGTTAGACAGCACATATTGACACCATCGTTACCAGGGAAGGCATATACCCGTACAGTATAATAAATGATAAAGAGCCCTGTTCATTGTGTCACGTTACTGTTATGGTTATGCCATAAATAAACAACAAACCCAAGGGTGAACAATAATTCAACCCTTTATTTCAGAAAATTATAATATTCATGTAAGCTGAATAATTTATGTGCTGCAAATATTACTATGTAATCTCATTGGCAGGTGAATTGAGAAGTGAAGTTATTAATGAGGAATCACTATACGGGCTCACCATAGCCCGTGCTACATGGACATTTCGTTCTGAGTAGCTAAATCTAAAACAACAACAATAGCGTGGAATCACTATAAGACGGGAGACCAAGTTACTGGCTAGCTGCCCACTTGCTCTACACAATAACGGAATGTTGAAGCCTACTAGTCAGATAAGATTCCCCATATATTTTACTAACCCATGTAGTCCAATTGTAGTGAATTGTCTACCAATCGATTAATCGATTATTAAATTACCCTCCCCCCCCCCCCGCTTGTGTAGGAAACGATTTGGGGGAATTTAATATCATACAGTCCATTTTAAATTCATACAGTCCGTTATCAAAATATATAAACGTAAGAAATAAATTAATATAAATTAATAAATTGTAAATAAATAAATAAATCCCATGAGTCAGTTTTCCCCACACGGACATCAAAGATGCTATTCTGTACAGAGGTGATGAACACCACAATTTATATGGTGGGAGTGCTGATAGTCAAAAATGAAATTCTAAATGTGATGATTGTCCATGTTTATAAATTATTAAATGAAAATCATTGGCAATTTAAAGAACAACTTGCCAAAAATAGAATACTGCTTAGAAAACCTCACGAATCCGGCCCCAAACATCCTCATGCTTTGTGACTTTAACTTATGGGCACCTAAAATGTAAAAATGTGCCAAATACAGGTATACCAGAGAGAATCCCAAGAAGCAGTTTAAATTAAATGCCACATACAGATGACCTCTTCCAAATGTGTGACAGATTTGCCTTAAACCAGCCAATAGTAGAACATACTAGGAAAAAAACATCTTAAATCTTATATTTACCAAATATGATGAACTGATTAGGGACATAATGATTACATATACATGCTACTCAAACTGAAGTTCAAACATGCATGGGCAATAGACCTATGCAGCCAGTCTCAAATCCAAGAGGAGGAGAATTCAGAAATTTTAATTTCAATACCAAACGGATTACCTGGGAACAAATACACCAAGACCTCACAGATATATACTTAGTCAGCTAGATAATGCAAACTTAACCAGTACCTCAAGAAATTAGGCAGATTTATGTGCAAGTCGCATACCACTAAGGCGAAAGAGAAAAAGATGCAAACTGGAACGAGAACGGCGTTCCCCCTATTGGACGACGAAAACAAATTGCAGAACATCTTAAACTCTCAACTTTATCCTAAGAACGACAAAGAAGGATATGTAGAGAAATAAAAATAGAAATAACGATTGAACTATGGTTGCAAGGGTCTCATAAATTCCAGGAGAGACAGAGAGACCAAAAGGCCATAAGCGAAATAGAGAGAAATCCTAAATGCTTTTTATCTTATTCAAAATCGAGAAGAAAAATTTAATCCTGAATTGGCCCTTGTCCAAGGGTGATGGAACCTTCACAGATGACAGCAAAGAAATGAGTGAAATACTGAGATTACAATACAATTCTGTTTTCAGGGCAGATCAATAATTCAAACTAATTCTTTATGAATGCTACACCACCACCGAGCTGTGTATCAGATGTCACTCTAACCCTATTGGATTCTAAAGTAGCCGGAGACAGTATGTCCATTCACTCTGCACCAGACCCAGACTCTTCGAATTCTATATTCATCACAAACTGCCAAAATACCACTACCACAGGCCCTTAGCATCTTTTAGAAGCAGGGGACTAGATACTGGTGTCATTCCTGACATAAAACAGTGGAGAACGCGCCACTTCACAAAGAAGGTAGTAATGCAGAGGCAAAATAATATAGACCTAACATCGCACATCATAAAATCCTTAAAAAGAGTGCTAAGAAGTAAGATCCAAAAACACATGGAATCACAGTGTTTACAAAACGCTGTGATTCCGCTGGGCACGCTGGGCAACATGGGTTCAGTACAGAGCGCTCCAGCCTCTCACAGTTGCTAGACCACTATGACATGGCCTTAGATGTCATGGAAGACAGACAAAACGCTAATGTAATATACACAGATTTCGCTAAATTCTTGCACAAATGAGACCATGGTGTTATAGCACACAAAATGCGCTCAAAAGGAATTACTGTCAAAGTAGGAAGATGGATGTTTAACTTCTTAACAAACAAAACCCAGAGTGTAATTGTCAACACAGTAAAATCAAAATCATCCACCGTGAATAGCTCAGTTCCGCAAGAAGTGCTTTTCCTCATCTTCATATCCAGCCCGTCCTCCTAAGGTTTCCCAACGTAAAGAAACTATTGTACGTAAGTGCCCTTAGTCTAACCTACTTGAGGACCCAAAACAAAAAGATAAAATTTATTGAAATATTTTAATAAATTCAATAAAATTTATTTAAATATTTTAGTTTTGTTTTATAAAACTGTAATATCAATATAGCTATAGGTTAAGTAGTAATTGTAATTAAGAAGCAATAAAATATTTATCTTCAAAAACTAAGAAGGTTAGGTTAGGTCGTGGTTTTCTATTCAGCTTTTCAGGTAAACTCAAATATTCACAATATATTTGACAGTACGATTTAATACTAAGTGTAAATAAGTACAATTCCTGACTGTCATACCTAGTACATAATTGCATTTATGGGGCTGTTACATTTACCTTCCCATTTTTGGAGGACGGGCTGGAGTTCTTACATTCTTGTACCACCACTACCACGCGTAACATTTCAGGTAAGTCCTTTATCTTATGTTCCCCGGAATACGACCCACAAAATCGTTTAACAGCCAGGTACCCATTTTACTGTTGGACTGTTGGGTAAACAGAGGTTACACATAAGGATTGACGCCCAGTAAATTCTCCCCGGCCAGGATACGAACCTAGGACAAAGCGCTCGCGACACGCCAGGCGAGTGTCTAAACCACTACGTCACAGGGACTGCTACGAATATCAGACATAGCGAACGATACATACTATAGTACTGAATCATCCTTTGCAGATGACATATTTTCAGGAGAGTAGACAATATAGAAGACACGGCCAATCTCCAATCTGATAATAATCAAGTCTTTCAATGGGCCACAGAAAATAACACGATGTTTAATGAGAATAAATTCCAATTACTGCGCAATTACTATGGAAAAACGAGAACATCAAAGTAGACACAATATATAAAAAAAAACAGTCAAACCACATTATTGAAAGAAAACCAGTGTAATAGATTTAGGAGTAATCATGCCAGAAGTCCTTGCTTTTAAAGAGCACAACAAAGTTGCTATGAGAACTGCAAGAACAACGACAGGTTGGATAAGAAGGACCTTTCAAACAAGAGATGCCACACAAATTATGATACCTTTAAAGACATCAGTGCTCTCTAGAGTGGAATATTGCTGCACATTAAAAACTCCATTCAAATTACTGGCCTGTAGAGTGTGCAAAGTTCCCTTACCCCTAAAATCCCCCTCAATAGAACAATTATTTTATTGGGACTGCCTAATAATTTTCAATCTGTATTCCCTAGAGGCAGGAAACATATATAATATACTACATTTTGAAAATATTAGAAGGACTGGTTCCAAATCTGCACACACAAATAATATCACATGAAACCAGAAGGCATGGCAGGATGTGCAAATAAAGAAACTGAAGAGTACAGGTGCAATAGGTACACTGAGAGAGAACTCTATCAACATCAGAGACCCGAGACTCTTCAACACATTTCCCCTGCACACTCGGGGCATAACTTGCTGATCTCTCGCAGTATTCAAAATAGACACTAGAAGGTGAAGGGACGACGACGTTTCGGTCCGTCCTGGACCATTCTCAAGTCGATTGACCATTCTCAATCGACTTGAGAATGGTCCAGAACGGACCGAAACGTCGTCGTCCCTTCACCTTCTAGTGTGTGGTTTGGTCAACATACTTTAACCACGTTATTGTGACTCATCGCCTGCATTCAAAATAGAACTCTGCAAGCACATTTAAAGGATACTTGATCAACCAAGATGTGTCTCATACGTCAGGCTGCGAGCAGCCGCATGAAACAGCCTGGTGGATCAGATAAGCAAATAGGAGGCCTAGTCAGAAACCGTACAACGGGGACATTATTCACCGGAATCTTCAACAGGTAAGTAGGTGCTGGTTTCACAAAGAATGATTGACAGGAGACCTTATATACAGCAACATTATTAATATAAATATATTCCAAAGACTTTGTCAACTGTATATTCCGACACCGTTGAATGGAATTCAAACTTAACATCACTTCCTTGCTTGACCCGAGGAAGGAGATGAATTATATTAAGCCGAGGAATGGAACAACACCCCTACATTCCATATTTTGGTCTTGTCTTATTTGCTGATGGAAGAGCTCCCTGGTTAAGTAATTAATTACAGAGATCAGTAACTGAACCAAGAAATATCTGGAATTAAATTATATTTTTGTATACAAAGCTCAGCTGTTTTAACTAGTAGCTAATATAATTTATTTGACACAATTACTCTTCAATGAAGTCTACTTCTGCCAAATAGGCTATATTTTTAGGATTTTACTTAGATTCAATAACTTTGCCAATCTCAAAATCTTTTTTTTTCCATTTATCTATTTATATGTTCATTTAATCTATATAAAGAAAAATGGAAATGTTAACTTGTTCAAAATCGCTAATTTCCAAAAGTTCTTCACCGATTGCTTTGAAATTTTCACACAACGTTCCTTTCACATCCGAGCGGGTTTTTATATACTTACTATATAGATGTCACGTCTGTGACGGGAAAAAATATGCATTTTTTCAAAAACTGTGTTTTTCATGTGAGGGAAATCTTCGAAACCTCTTTACCGATTGCTTTGAAATTTTGACAACGTTGCATTCGAATAGGCGCAGGTATTTTTTATACCTACTATATACATGCCTCACCTGTGACAGGAAAAAATATGTTTAAAAAAAACAGTGCCATCTGTTGGACGTAATAGGAACACACGCTGTAATCTCCGAAAGTTCTTCACCGATTACTATGAAATTTTAACACAACGTTTCATTCGAATAAGCGCGCGTTTTTAAATACCTACTATATAGCTACCACACCTGTGACCAGGTAAAAACATGTTTTTTTGAAAAACAGCGCCATCTGTTGCAGGTTACAGCAACACACGCTATATTAATTATGTTACAAATTCATTTCAGTGTTTCTGACTGCATTGATAAATTAAATTTTCATAGATTTCAACTTATTTTCATTTTGATTGAATTATTTTGTGTGACATTGCATTGGGATTGAGCTGTGTTGTTTACCATATCATTTATTTCGTGAGTATAAGTATAGATGCCACACCTGTGACAGGTAAAAACATTATTTAAAAAAAAACATGTTTTTTTTTCGAAAAACATCGCCATCTGTTGGACGTAAAAGCAACACACGCTATACTAAATATGTTATGATTCCATTTCAATGTTTCCAGTTGCATTGATAAAATGAATTTACATAGATTTTGATTTATTTTAATTTTGATTTAATTATTTTGTGTGACATTGAGTTGGAATTGAGCTGTGTTGTTTACCATACCGTTCATTTCATGAGCATACTTTACTGTTTTATTTTTTCATTGTTTTTATTTCGTTTTTTAACTTCTTATTTTTCAGTGATGGCAACACCAGATCATTTTATATTCTCAATTTTTCTGATGGGAACATCAGATCATTTAGGAATGCATCGGACGAGGGTGTGAGGAATGGTGGGGAGGACGAGGGGACGGGAGTGGGGGATAGTGAGGGGACGGGGGAGGGGGAATTTTAGGGAGGACGAGAAGACAGCGGAGTGGGGGATGGTGAGGAGGACGAGAACACAGAGGAGCTGGTAATGGTGGGGAGGACGAGGGGACGGAAAAGTGGGGGAGGACGAGGGGACGGGGAAGTGGAGGAGGACGAGGGGACGGGAAAGTAGGGGATGGTGGGAGGACGAGGGGACGGGGAAAAGGTGAATAGTGGGGAGAATGGGGGGACAGGGAAGAGTTGCTGCGGCTTAGTAACACACATGCGTTGCTGAGCCACAGCAACGCGTGGCCGGGTACAGCTAGTTTATAGAATAAATTTCTAAGATGTGCATCACCCCAATTACATTACTAATATCTTAACATTTCCTGGCCTATAAAAATTGCAATCTATAATGATGAATAGTACTTCAGTGTTATAAAGAATAACCTACTTTCTTGATCAGTAACATTCCAGCAAGTTGATGGTTGGCCAAAACCTGCGGAACTGGCGGCGGCCACACTGGCTGTGACGTTCGTATAGGGTTGAAGATTGCTGAATTTTATGTTATTCTCCATGCTGAAGGTTTCATTTGACCCTTTCTCGTCGCTCCACAGAACGTCCCACGACCAACTGATGCTGTGGTTTTCAATGCTACAGTTAAAGACTGGATCAATCCAGTTAACAACTAATGTTGAGGTGAATACGTTCGAGAACCAGCAGCTCTGTGGTGGCGGTGGCTCTGGGAAAATATTTTGGATGAGAGACTACATAATGTGAATAATAAGTAAGATTGAAATCTATTATGTTGAACAATCCTGGTTGAGAGAATAGATTATGTGCGTTATCTACAATGATTTCTACAAGGGGATAGAGACTAGTAGCCTTTATGTACATAAATAAGAAATTAAAATATACAATGAATGCAATACATAATTATACCTTAGAATGTTCAAATCAAATTTGAGGTAATGGAAGGTCAATGGCAGCAGCAGCCGTGGAATTACCTGGACTGTTTGTTGTGCCTGTTACTGGAGTGTAATACTGCTTATCGCTGTACACTGCGTATATTCTTAATTTATAAGAACTGCACCATTTCAGTCCATTTATGAACAAGTATGTGTTGTTCGTTTTATTATCTATAGATTCAAATAGAATTTGGACCCTATAATATTCAGGCGGCGGCTCATTTGGATCCCACGACACATTGAGAGCGTTGGATCCCACCGGCGTCACTATCACGTTCTCAGGCGGCCCTTCACCTTCACCTGTGGGAGACAATGCTGTAAGAGATCACGTCTTGTGTGTGAAACTGCTTTGTAATTTATTTATGACAGTGATACATTGTATTGCAGATCCTCTTCTCATTGCAATATGAGCCCGGCCAATATACATAACCTGCGAGTCACAATTAAAATTATTATGGATTTAATACCAATATGTGTGAGACTTCTTGAGAGCTCCTAGGAATGATAATATATGATGTCTCCCAAGGAGAATATAAATTAATATTTGACAGTAAAAGTGAAGTCATGAAGGAGAACAGAATAACGAAGTGAGAATGGAAGAACTTACAAAATAATAATAATGCATCATAGAACGAAAGAAGATGAGATTGAAAGTAAATTGTAGTAAACCAGGAAGGAAAATGAATAAGGAAAGGAAAAAAAAGAGAGATAAAAAAGTCGCAGAGAATAACCAGATAAAAAAATGGATGGAGAGGATAGGAAATGAGGGAGGAGATGCAAGAGGATGAACAAAAAAAGAGGAAAAAATATGAAGAAATACATAAGAAAATAAATACTGGGAAAGTAAGGACAACAAAATAAGTATAGAAGAAATATTACAGATAGGGTGAATAAGAAAAAGGTTCATGATAGAAAGTACTAGGCATACAGGACACAGGGAGGAAAGAAGGAAGCAGGTCTAGAGAAAAAAGGGTAGAAGGAATAGAGGGGAAAAGAAGTCTAAAGAAGAGTTAGTAAGTGATACGGTGATAGGGCTGCAAGGAAGAACAGAAGACAGGCAAAAGACAAGGGAAAGCAGGGAGGTAAGGATGAATCGAATGGAATAGGTGGAGGAAGTAGAGATAGAAGAAATGAGTGATTAAGGAGGGAAGTACATTTAAACTGAAGGGGAAAGAAAAAGGAACTGTAATAGTAGACGGATGGGGAGAACAAGGACTACACTAAACGGGAAGAGGAAGAGAAGCATAAATGGATTCTCTTCAGGATTTGACACAAGTCTTCATAAATTGGCAAGAGAAGCAGATAATTAATCGATACAACACCAGTCGTTCGAAACAAGCCAGATGTTGAGTTAGCCATCGTCCTATCCCATTGGCTTAGGAGCACAAAGAGAACCATCTAAGTGAATGACAGCTATCGAAAAACATGTTAGTTACTCATTAGACATGGAGCCAAGACACTGAATCCTTCGTCACCTGCACAACCCTACACTGCAAACATATATGAGCTCCTGAGAACCTTTAGTCTCTATACATTCTATTGCAGGCGATAAGTCACAATAAAGTGGCTGAAGATATGATGACCAAACCATAACTCAGAAGATGGTGAAGCGACGACGTTTCTGTCCGTCCTTGAACATTATCAAGTCGATCACATGATTTGATAATTGTCCAGGACGGATCGAAATGTCGTCGCTTCTTCATTTTCTGTGTTGTGGTTTGGCCGTATCTATATAAGTAAAAATGGCTTCGGCCACTTTGACCAATCATCAGCCAAGTACCCACACCCACATACAGACTGGCGAAGCGACTGAACGGCTTGCTGACTCCTTATGTACCTTGTGCTTTCAGCCTGAAGTCTCCAAAGGAATTTGTTGACTTACTGTGGGGAACATGGGCCACAGGGATAAGAGCCTCGTTGGACTTAGAATCACTGTTTACCAACGTACCTGTGGATGAAACAATCGGGATGATAGCAGACAGAGTGTATCGTGATCCGGCCTGTACTCCTCTTGACATACCAGAAAACATTCTAAGGAAACTACTCCAAGCTTGTACTAAAGAGGCACCCTTCTTGAGCCCAGATGGGCACATGTATAGGCAAGTAGATGGGGTCACCATGGGTTCTCCCCTAGGTGTCCTGTTTGTGAACTTCTACATGGGTACCATCGAACAGAAGGTCTTAGTTGACATGAACTTGAAACCTGCCATATACTTCAGGTATGTTGACATTTTTACACAGGTACCTGATGTCAGACGTCTGCAGGAGCTGAAGGAGGCATTCGAGCGGAATTCTGTGTTGAGTTTCACTTACGAGATGGAGAAGGATGGGAAGCTGCCCTTTCTAGATGTAACAGTCACGGAAAGGAGCAGAGGTTTCCACACTGCAGTCTACACTAAGGAAACAAAGGAATGTGCCTCACTGCCAACAGTGACTGCCCAGACAGGTACAAGAGGAGTGTTGTCAACGCTTACGTCGACTGTGCTCTCAGCCACAGCTCCGGTGAAATGCCATGCAACCTCTGAAGAGTCAACTAACACAACACCTGTACCCCCAATTAGACTATTTTACAGGAACTTCTTTTCCACAACTCATAAAACGGAGAAAAGGGTCCTGAAAGATATTGTTAATAGGAACGTTATCCCTACAGACAAAAATCAGAAGATGCAATTGACGATTTACTATAAAACCAAAAAAAACGGCCAACCTACTCATGAAAAACTCTCCAGACACAAAACAGAACGCCTTAAAGGAGACCAACGTCGTCTATGCCTTCAAATACCCACTTGAGGACTGTAAGCCCCAAAGAACTCAGTATATAGGCAAGACAACAACATCTCTTTCCAGGAGATTAACAATGCATAAGCAACAGGGCTCCATTAAGGAACATAATCTCTTCCCACAACCAGACCATCACCAGAGAAGTCTTAACAAACAACACAGAAATCGATAGATACAGCGATAGCAGGCAGCTCGACGTCTGCGAGGCAGTACACATCAAAAAGTCAACACCAGCAATCAATAGCCAATTAATGCACAACTATATTCTACCCACTTCAAGACTCTGTACCAATATAGAAGCATCAAGAGGAAGTATGGGCCAATAGACCCTTTGCAGTTACTTCCATTCTTATGCTCTCATATATCCAATTAATACCCATTGTTCCGTGTTCTGTCTTGTGTTTGTCAAAAGTTTGTTCACCTCATCCAAAACTGTTGCAACATATCACCTCACCCAAGTGTGAGTATATAAGACGGATAAGCTGTTTAGTGCTAGCAAAAGTAAAACTCTGTTTTGTGTTTTCAGGTTACAGTTGTATGTGTAAACTAAAGTCTTTGAAAATGTAATAAGTTATTACGAAACGCGTTCAAGCATCACGTCAGACTAGAAATAAAAATTAATTTTGGAGAATTGATTTTTCAATTATCATCGACAGTAAAAAGAAACATAAGAAATATTGAGAAAATTCGTGTTAGAATTATTAATCTTACTTTTTCGGTCATATTTAACAACATAAATCAAAATGTAAATGTTCGTTTGTTCAAAATCGCGAATCTCCGAAAGTTCTTCACCGATAGCTTTGAAATTTTTACACAGCATTCCATTCGCATCCGAGCGTGTTTTTATATACATACTATATAGATATCACGTCTGTGGCGTGAAAAAAAACATGCCTTTTATGAAAAACTGTGTTTTTCATGTGAGGAAAATCTTCGAAACCTCTTTACCGATTGCTTTGAAATTTTGACACAACGATGCATTCAAATAGGCGCGCGTTTTTATATACCAACTATATACATGCCTCACCTATGACAGGAAAAAAAACGTTTTTTTTTTTTTAAACAGTGCTATCTGTTGGATGTAAGAGCAACACACGCAGTAATCTCCGAAAGTACTTCACTGATTGCTTTGAAATTTTTACATAACGTTCCATTCGAATACGTGGGTGTTTTTACATGGATGCACCTATTATATAAGTGTCACACCTGTGACAGGTAAAAACATTTTTTTTTGCAAAACAGCACCATCTGTTGCACGTACGAGCAACACACTTTATACTAAATATGTTACCATTCCATTTCAATGATTCTGATTTCATTGATAAATTGAATTTTCATACATTTTGATTTATTTTAATTTTGATTTAATTATTTGTGTGACATTACATTGGAATTGAGCTGTGTTCTTTACCATACTGTTCATTTCTTTAGTATAGTTTATTTTTAATATTTTTTAATTTCTTTTTTTTTAACCGTTTTTCTTATATTTCAGTAATGGGAACATCAGATCATTTGATGTTCCCAATTTGCTGATGGGAACATCAGATCATTGGAATGCATCGGACGAGGGAGTGGGGAATGGTGAGGAGGACGAGGGGGACCAGGGAGATGGGAAAGGTGGGATGAATGGGGACAGGGGAATGGAGAATGGTGGGGATGACAAGGGAACAGGGAAGTAGGAGATGGTGGGGAGGACGAGGGGACGTAGGAGTGGGAGGACGAGAGGACGGTGGAGTGAGGAATGGTTAGGAGAACGAGGGGACGGTGGAGTGGGGGATGGTGGGGAGGACAAAGGGACGGGGGAGTGAGGAATGTTGGGGAGGACGAGGGGACGAGGGAGAGGGAATGGTGGGGAGGACAGGGGAGGGTTGCAGTGGCTCAGCAATGCGTGGCCGAGTATAGCTAGAGTGTATATATATATATATATATATATATATATATATATATCTGAGGAAGGGTGGCATGTTTGAAGACAAGAACAATGAACGGCACCGTCAGTGATAACCTAATCTCCTATCTCGATAACATGATTAATAGGGAATTATTGGCACACAAAAAAAGCCTGTGTTGAGAACAATTTATATCTTCTGGAAGCCAACTACCTCATGTTCATTTTGATCATGGTAACGAAGATCTCAAATAAGATAATGCAGTTATAATTATAATTTTGGGGTGATGCATTATACGTGAAACGGTAAACATAACTGATGTTATGATAATCTGGGCAGATGATGCTTGTTAAGTTGAGAGATGGCGCTGATGTCACTTAAGTGGTGGAACACTTGCACTGTGAGGCACTGCAGGCAGCTGGGTCAAGCTCCACACACCACTTACCTCTCCACGTACGAGGCATCTCCCTCTTCACTGATCAAGGCGGAACAGTCTACATTTACCAAACAATTGTTGCGAGGCGCAAAGAATTACCTGGTTATCTATAGCAGTAATAACTTTGAGTTGATTACGACCTCGCAACGCTTTCGAACTCTTAAACTGCATAGTGAATACAAACTACGTCGACA